TCTGCTCGTCACCCATGTACCCAACCAGCCGTTCATCTATCCATTCATCCATCCATCTTCCATCCACTCAGCAAACACTTATTAATACCTAATTTATGAAGATGTGTAGATAAATAAAACCTGCTACCTACTCTCAGGAAACTTAGAGCCTAGTGTGTGTGTGTGGTGGGAGGGGTGGGGGAGGCAAGTAACAATGATTGCAAATACTACTTCTCCTCGAATGCTTACTATGTACAATGTATTTTGTGCCGGTTCCTGGAATCTTAATTTTCATATGGTGACTCAAAGAGGACTCGGTGTTAGATAGTTGCTAGAGAGCAGTAACTCCCCAGCTATCAAGTCAACCCTTGACCCTTTGGAATGGGGTACCACTGCCCCATAGGGTTCCCAGGGAAGTTCTGTAAATCCTTACAAATGCAGACCACCTCCTCTTTCTCCAGAGGAGCAGCTGACCTCCATTAGCAACTCCATTCATCTGTGCTGAGATTTGCATTCTAAGAGCGAACCCTCAAGCTTAGGGATCGTGACTCCTTTATAATTGGCAGTAAGTATACCTGCCCTTGGCTTTGGAGCGAGATCCTCAGCTTCCAAGGTTATTCGCTGTGTAAACATTCTGGACAAGACAGCCTGCAACAAAGGCACTGCCTGCTTACAAGATGTGCAGAAATGCAAGAGACTCTTGGAAAAGTGCTTTCCAAATCTGCTCAGTGTCGTTTTGTTTGGGGGATGACAGTTTCTGTGAAGACAGCAAGGAGATACTGCGAGCAGTCTCAGCACGGCATCTAGTAGGATGGTCTCCTCCTCCACCTAGCTACTGCCAGCACGTCCATTCCCGCTCGTGGCAGCCCTACACCTGGCAGTCCTACACGACAGAGTGGAACTGCCACTGTGGGTTTCAGAGGCTGTACATTGAGTTACCCGCCATACCACCAAGGCACGTTAGCTAACTCCTCCAAAGGATTCAGTCTGGGGCTGTGACCCACTTTGACCCTGGCAGGTGGAGCAGGTAGGCAGGGTCACCCAAGGGGATGGGGTGTGGCACAATCAGACACTCCCTCCTATCTGCTCATGATAAAGCTTTTACTTTGATTCTTCTACGCAGATGATAATCTGTTCCAGTAGCATCCCCTCACCTCCCCCCCACCACAGGAGGGCGTAGTGGGCAGTGTGCTATGCAATTCCAGTAGGGTCTGAGGGAAGGGAGGGATTAGTATCTGCAGAGAACCTATTTTATACAAGATTCTTTGACCGACATTTCTACAAGCTTTCTTCCACGGAGTCTCATGATGAACTCAGGGACCCCGGGTGGTGCAGTGCATGACACATGGGCTGCTAAGCACAGTGCCAGCAGTTGGGATCCACCAGCTGCTCTGAGGGAGAAAGATGAGTTTTTTTTGCCCCCATCAAGATTCGTAACCTTGGAAACTCACAGGGACAGGGACGGGTCTGCGATGTCCTATAGGGTCCCTGTGGGTCAGAATGGGCTCGGTGGCAGTGAGTCTAGTGTTGTCCTGACGGACCTGGAGCCTCGGGTGGCGAGCTCCCCAGGCAGAAGAGGAGGCAGAAAGGCCATAAAGGCTCAGCAAGGCCCTCCACTGTCAAAGGTCTAGGGTGAGGCAGGAATCCCCCCACTGGGGCTCCCTCTGGCTAAGGTGCTGCCTGTCAGGTCAGGGTGACACCCCCATATAGGGAGCTTTCTGGGTGGCAGGTGTCATCTAGATCCAGCGGACTCTTGATGGCCCTCCCCACCCGGCCCCCTCCCTCCCCAGCACAAAGCCCCAGGAGGTCAGCCGGCTCAGGTTTCGGTTTCTTCAGTGAAACTGCCACCTGCCTCTTGGTGAACGGGTATGAAAGTCCCTCTTGGCAGCTGCCAGCACCCCAGGCTGTCTGGGGGTGGGTTGGGGGAGGGGGGGCTGGGTGATGGTTTCATGACTAGCCCCTGGTCAGAGGCAGCTGCCAACAGCCACCTCCCAGATCAGATGGCTGTGGGAGCCTTTTGTTCCTTTCCTGGGAACCCTGCTGGGAACAGTCACATTTCCCAGGGTGCTGCCCACCCACTGCTGTCTGAAGCCCCGGCTCCTGCCTCCTCCTCCAGCCAGATGGGGTCACATGCTGCAATGGGACTATGGGCGCCCTTTGCTTGTTTGGGGGTACAGGATAGGTGCTTGAGTGTGTTCATTGGTGAATCCTACAATATGAGAGATGCTTGGTCTCTCTCTGTGGAATGGTGGCCTCCCACAGTCCCTTCTGCTCATCCTCGGGCCCCACCTCCCTGGGAAGCAGAGAAGGAGGGAGAAAGGGGCTTTCTGTATTTGCACGTGGGACTCTGGTGGATGCAGATCTCTGGAGGGGACCTTCGGGTGACTGTCTAGCTCCCCTGACATCTTTAGTCCCGGGATTCTCAGAAGGTCTCAGCATTCAGCAGAGAGGCCTTGGCTGCAGCTGCCGGGGAGGCCTCACCAGCCCTGGAGGGCCTTTTGAGGCCCAGTCACATCTGCCTGCATTTGGTTGTATCTGGCTCCGATCCTATGAGGGGGAAGGTGAGGTATGTGGCAATGATCTGTCTGTCTGCGAATGTGACCCCTGCAGACGTCAGTCTGTCTACTCCCTTTAGCAAAATTTGTCTCCAAGGAATTCCCAATAGCTGGCTGGCCTCAGGACTGAGTCTGCTCCTTGGGGGGTCAGGACTGGAACCTTCAAGTATCTGGTTGGGGGTGCGTGTGGGGGAAGGGCCGGGGTGGACATCTGGCTGTCCCATGAAGATGTATTCTGGCCCTAGCTCACTGCCTACTTGCACAGAGCAAGCAGGGAGTTAGAATGGACCTGGTTGCCCGCTCTGCCAGGTGTGGCTGTGTGGGCTTGGGTAAACCTCTTGCCTCAGTGAGCCTCCGGGTCCTCCTGAGTGAAGGCGGGAGGGGAGCTCGTGGAGTACACCGTCAAAAAGTGACGTCTCAATGGACGTGAGTCGTTAGGGCAGGTGCCATTTGAGCACCACACCAGTCCATTCAGTGCCGCGTCGCTTGAGAGCACCTGCTCCGGCCCAGCGTTGTCGGGGACACGTTGCCGATAAGCCCACCTGGATCTGGCCTCTGTCTGATGCAGAAGGGGGCACCCAGGCTTTTTGTTTCTCTCTGGGAAGCACGCCTCCAGGTGGCTGTGAAGCCTCGCCACCCAAGACTGCCCCTGCATTTCCATTCCTCCAGTGAGGAAGGAGGCCTCTGGGTGGTGCAGACTGTTGGTGCTCGTCTCCTGGCTGAAGCTGGCACCGCAGAAGAAATCCTGGCTACTTTCGAAAGCTTGCCACTGGAAAACTCTCTGGCACGTGTGGGGTTGCTTTGCATGGGGATCGTCTCGATGACATTGGGGAGCTCAAATAGTTAAGTGCTCAGCAACTTACTGGAAGGTTGGGAGTTCAGATCCATCCGGAAGTACTTGGAAGAAAGGTCTGATGATCCAAAGGGTCACCGTCTTGAGTGGGCATCAGCGCCACTTGATGCCCCCTGCGAAAGCAGGAAGGCTGCCTCTGCCGTCAACTTGAGCCTCTTGGACCCCAACTCTCGGATCACGTTCTCTTGTTTTGCTGGCTTGTCAGACTGCATTTGTGTGTTGGAAACCCAGTGAGTCTGGAGGCCCAGGGGATAGAATCACCGAATGGCTACACCCTTTCTTTGGCACCAGGTGGCTTGGGCTCCACTGGCAGCATGTTGTCCAGGTGATGTTGCCCAGGTGTCATCACCTCGTCTGCTTGAATTCCACGCTCCGTTAGATTGCTCCTTGGGGCTACACTGTGGCCGCTACAGGGAAGAGGAGATGAGCTCATGCCACTGAGAACAGCTGTCCACAGCTATTAGCGGTACATCCTGCAGGGTTCTCTAGAAAACACCTGGGCTCCGGGGTGAGCTTGGACGCGTTTCCTGGAGATGAGAGAGGGGGTCATGATAGGAAGGGAGGAGGACAAGGCACACTCCTTGGTATCTGTTGGCTATCAGTCCCTGGATGGTGCAAACAGGACAGTGCTTGGGTGCTGACCCAAAGCTTGGCGCTCTGAGTCAGAGGCACCCCGAAGAAAGACCTGGTGGTCTAGTTCTCAAAAATCAGACATGGGAAACCCCATGTAGCACAATTTTCCTCGGACACACGGCGTCACTGTGAGCCAGACTTGGTAGCACCTGGTTTTGTTTTTCGCCGAGGGTCAGCCTTCCTTCTACGTGTTGGCCCAATGCTTGTTCATTCACCCTGATGAGAAGCCTGTGAGATCAGTATCACGAAGGGTACTTTATGGGCAAGGAGGCAGGTTACAGGCGATGAAGAATAATTGCTTAGGTCTCAGTCAGCGATGAGTCAGGGTTCAACACTAGGTCTCTCCGAAAAGCCCATTATTCCACTCCCTGTTACTCTTCGCTCCTTTCAACTGGCTGAAATAATTGGTTCTTAAACAGAAGGTGACGGTCACTTAAGCTATGTGAAGTGCATCCTTGTTGGGCTATTTTGAGCCCTGCCTTGAGTGATCCTGTGGCAAGGTGGCAATTGGTGAAACAGAATCACCGTTTCTTCCTCACCAGAAAATTGTACTGGATGCTTCTCGGTCACATTGCTGCCTTTGTGGTGGTGGGGTCTCCTAGCAACCTGCTGCCCTGGGGCCCACGAGTGTTGGTTGCACATGAGCACGACTTATGACTGCAACGAAGAAAGAGCCGTGGCTGGCTCTAGGCCATCTCACTTAGTGTGAAATGCCCTTTCTTTAAAAAAGTGTGACTTGGGGAAGAGTGAACAAAATTGAAGATGCATGGAAACAAGTAGCCCAACGGATAGCTGGACCAGGACATGAGCATCAGTCTTTATGAGCCTGACACCGTCCCCAACTGTCCGGAAAAGGACCAGACTAGCAGGACCTAGATAGACTCGGAGAAAACTGTAGCATGTTGTCTTAAAGACAACCCTGATTGAATAGAAACCCCGAGACGATGGCCTGTGGTCGTCCTTCGGGTCTGGAACCGAACTCACACCTGCAGCTTCCTTTTCAGCCAAACAACAGACAGGTAGGTCTACAAGGGGAACAATAAGAGCAGTGTGGTGCAACCCTCTTGGGTGCAAACGGCAGCCTTTCAGAGGGGTTCAGCAAGAAGGAGGAAGGTTACATCATGGGATCGCAATCAATGGCATGAAACAAGACACGTATGAATTGTTAAGTGGAACACTGATCTGCTCTGTAACTCCTTCAATCAATTCACAGTAAAAAAAAAAAAGTTGTTTTTTTTTCCCTAAGTATTACTTTTCGTCAGGGGGGAAAATTAGAGATTACTTCCCTTCATGTTCTATGCCTTACAGAGTCTTCTTAGGTCTTTCTGGGACTTCAAGTCTTTAGAAATTATTAACACCACACGTTTCACAGGCATGTGTAGATACAAAGCTCCAGTAGTTGAGCCTGTGGGCACGTGGGCATCACAGATGGCCCGAGTTATGAATGAGAGATGCCCCTGGGGTGAGCACCTGCAACTTAGGAGCCGGAAGGAGGCCCTGGAAGATGAAGCATTTGGAGATAGAGCATAGGACACTCCGGATAGGTTGGCCACCTGGGATGGTCTCTTTTGAAGGAGAGGGGCTAGGGAGCCAATACACCGCATCCTTGTCCAGAGCAAGTTGCTCTCATGTGTGGAGACTAGTATTTGGAACGGAGGGACTCAGAGATAGGCAGAGACCCAGATCCCTTTCGGATAGCCCTTAGGGGATTGCAGAAGCCAGGACGGGCCACTGTAAAGAAAAGTTCTGCATCTGGTCCTCTTGGAACATCCTCTAGGTCAGGAGTGCTTCTGGAGGATAGAAATAGAGAGGTGAATGAAAGCCTTCTATCAAAATGATTGTTGCTAAGGTTGAGTTTCTCTATGAAGAAAACAAAACAAACCAAAACACAGGACTAAACTCACTAGCATCGAGTCAATGCCGACTCATAGTGATCCTATAGGATCAGTATATCTGTCCTTGTGGGTTTCTGAGACAGTAATTTTCATGAGAGTAGAAAGCCCCACCTTCCCCCCCAAGGAGTGGCTGGTGGTTTTGAACTGCTGACCTTACAGTTAGTAAGCCCTATGCATAGCCACTACACCACCAGGGCTCCTGAGTTTCTCTATGAGGAAGGCCAATATGGCAATGGTTCTTGGTGATGGTCACACAATGGGAGAGATGTCATGGACTTCACCGATTCAAGTAGAAAACATTGGATTGGCAAATGTTGTGTTACCTCTATCTTTACCATAATTAAGCAACAGAAACAGCAGGAAGATCAGGGGGTGAGGTGGGGTTCTTAGGTGGGATGGTGAGGGGAGGTTGATGTAGATGGCTGCTATCAAGTCTGCCCTTGAATCATGGGGGCTCCCTGTACAACCGAATGAGACCCTTTCAGAGCAGACTGCTGTGACCCACGGAGCTTGCACTGGCTGGTTTTCAGAGGGAGAGCATCGGGCCCTTCCTCTGTTTTGAGGTTATTCTAGTGTTCATTGACACCGTTCATCATCAGAGCACCACACTAGCCTTCTCTGAAAGATGGGTGGCTGTGTCTGAGGTGCGCTACCGGGGAATTGAGCCCAGGTCTCTCGCATGGAAGATGAGAATTCGACCAGTGAACCACCACTGGTTCCTTCGATGAAGATGGTGCTCATCATGGAAACTACAAGGCCAAAGTCAGTGGAAATGGATGGCTGGCGGTTCAAACCCACCAGCCTCTCTGCAGGACAAAGAGGAAACCATCTACTTTGTAAAGGTTTACAGCTTTGGAAACGCCACATAGGATTGTTGTGAGTCATATCAACTTGATGGTGGTGGGTTTGATTTATTCTCCTTCAAAAACTGTCATTCCGGCTATTGCTCCTTGGTCTGTGACCATCATCCCCAGATGAGAGAAACCTGTCTGAGCCCAGTTTGAACTGAACTGCCTTTCTGGCCTCCACATACCCAGGAGCTACCTCTCACAGAAAAGTGGGTGGCAAGAAAAGGCGTAGCCAGGGGAAGGGAGTGGGTCAGCTGGTTGGGTCTGAGGGGACCAACAGCAGACACAGGCAAACATCCTGTGATGTCCTCATCCGGTGATGCTGCAGTTGTATTAGAAATCAGCGACACTAGCTCCCTTGCCCATCAGCAAGGAAACTGAAGTCCAGAGAGGAAATATGATCAGGCTGGGCTGGGCTGTACCCTTTGTTGATTCAGTAGTGGAGCCCAATGTCTCTTTGAACAAAGGTGTGGGCTAATCCTTGAATACATTCTCTCTGAGCCCCTGCAAATGTTTGCATCAGGGGAGAAGATCCTGGTGGCCTGGTCAAGGCTGGTTTACAGAGACTAAAAATTCCTTTTGTTGAAACAACATTGTGTTTAGCTTTGTCAGGGGACACCACAGAAATCCCCTGTACCAGCAGATCAGTTCTGAGAAGAGGCCATGCCCGGTGGTAACAGCAGCTCCCTATGTGTGCTGAGCCCAGTCCACAGAGTGACCCCCTGATGCCTCACAGCAGCCTGCAAGCTAAGTGCCTGGGATAGTTCACATTCCCATACAAAGCAGATACCCAGGTGGAACCTGATATGCCTAGAGATGTTTTGGGCGGCATGTCCACGAAGGAGAGCAGGGAGGGGTGGATGCAGGCCAGCACCGGGGCAGGAGAGAAGGTAGAGAGACTGAGTGGGCAGAGCCCGCCTGAGCCAGTGGCACCCTGCAGAAGACCATCTCAGGCAGGCTAACCGGAGTCCCAGGGCCTTTGCCATCTCGTCTCGTGTGGCTCTGACAGAAACGCCACAAGTGGATGGCATGAACAAACACAAGTTGATTTGCTCACAGGGTCGGAGGAGCTGGAAAGTCCCAGTTTAGGGCACATCCCGCAAAGCTGCTGACCTCATCATGGGAGTGTCCCTTCAGCAGACAGCCACCCTGTGCTGGCTCTGGTCACGCTTCCACTCCTGTCTCTGTGGGGGGCATTGTCCCTGGCTCGGCTTGCTTCCTCACTTTTCTGTCTCAAAAGAGATGGATGTCAGACACACCCTGCACTCAGACTTGCACCCTGACATGACAAACAGAACCCTTCCCCCAGTGGTAAGAAAGGACCACCTAGGCCAGTGGTTCTCCACCTTCCTAATGCCACGACCCTTTCGTACAGTTCCTCATGCGGTGGTGACCGCCAACCATACAATTATTTTTGTTGCTACTTCATCACTGTCATTTTGCTACTGTTATGAATCGGGTGACCCCTGTGAAAGGAACCGCTGACCTAGGCTGGGGACGGCAGGAAGCACAAACAAATCTGAAGAAGGGCAGCCAAAATGCTCGTGAGAGACAAGGACGGTGAGACTCGGCCTCTGGTTGTTTGGACAGTCCTGTGGGAAGGGCTGACTCAAGGTGACGGCACCCAGCAACACGAACAATCATCACACAACAGCAGGACCAGCCAAACTCACTGCTGTCGGGTCAATGCCACCTCCTCGCAGACGCCCTGTGGGCTCCCCACACTGATTGCTGACGGGAGTAGAAAGCCCTGTCTTTCTCCCCAGGAGCTGCTGGTGGCTTCCAACCGCTGACCACGCGGATCACAGCCAGACGTGTCACCATGGGGCCACCTTAGGGGTTAGGCTTCACAGCACATGTTCCCAGCGGCCATCACTCAATCCCTAACACCGAACAACACCCAGTCCTTCGAGGACGCAGGCTGAGCAGGAACAAGGTGGCCCACGTGCTCTCTCCATGCCCAGCCACTCAGCCTCCCCATCGTCTGACCCCTCACCAGCACCATCCCTTATTTGAACCCTTTGGCTTCAGACAGGATCTCTTGAAGCTGATCTGAGCAGTACACCCCCGTGGCCACAAATCCTCTGGCATGCTGAGTTCTCTAGGGAAGCTTTAAAAAGCTTGTGGAAAAATTTACATTATCTTCCAATTCCATTTCCCATGGCTTTTTGGAAAGCCCTTTGTGTATAAGTGTGTGCACACCAGGGATACATATCTATCTATCTATCTTCTATCTGTCTATCTATCTATCTATCTATCTATCTATCTATCTATCTATCTATCTATCTATCTTCTATCTATCTATCTATCATCTATATGTATTTGTATATATATGGTATATGTGATGAGACTTCAAAAAGCTTATTGAAAAAAAGACAATGGAAGTCTTTTGCACATTCTCTGGAGCATCATGTGTCTGTGTGTGTGTTACCGAGACCAAAACACCAAACTCCCTGCCATCGAGTCAATTCTTCTTTATGCAGCTCAGTAGAAGCGGGTAGAATTGCCCCTGTGGGTTTTCAAGATGATGAATCTTTACAGGAATGAAAGCTTCCTTTTTCTCCTATGGAGCAACTGGTGGTTTCGAACTGCTGACCTCATGGATAGCAGTGCAGTGCACAACCCAATGGCTCACACAGTTGTAGAGGCTGCAAAGACTAAAATCAGGCTGGTGGTGCTCTGAGCAGAACTGCTTCCCAGACACATCCAGGGCATATCAGTCACATCCACACAGGCTGCCCCCAGCATTTCTCGCAGCGCCTGGCCAGTACCTAGCTGACCAGTGCCTAGCTGACCAGCACCTAGCTCTTCCTCCTCTCTGAGCTCAGTCCAGCCAGGTCTCTTCATGCAGGGCTGGGAGCGCCGAGAGCCACCCAACCTTCACCTGCAAGTAATTGAGGAGTCCCATAAAGAACCCGGGGCAGGACCTATCAGTACTAGCCACCGGAAGTGGAGGCTCTCCAGGATGCTTTCAAAGTCCTGCTTCCTCTTGCCCTCAGATGGACCGAAGACTAGGGGAAAACCTGGCTCCATAGAATGTCTGATCATCCACCAGGGAAAGGAAAGGTGCCAGGTAGAGGGTGACGGGGAGAAACGTAATAATGATGCCTAATAGAAGGCAAGAGCACGTCTCCATGCTTCCATGATGCCTGCTTCTTCTGTCCACAGTGTGTGTGTTGGAACTTTAATGATGCTGGGGGGTGGGGGACGACAGCTCATTTAGCAAAGAAGACCCAAGGGTCTGCTTGGTACAGGACACAGAGGGACAGGTGCTGGCATGAA